GACTCAAATTCTTGTAAGTCCTTGATAAATCCGGGACGTTCGTTATGTGTGTACTAACATACTAACCTACTACTACTATGTGTTAATCTTAATTTTACTTCGGGATAGGTCAGTACAACACAGTACACTGCGACCCTGGGAATCCCCCCCCGGAGTTATGTTGGATATTTCCAACATCGAATACAACATTGTTGTATTCTCATTACTTATTACTAATCATATTAATATTGTAGTAAGTAAAATTAACAACTCGTAGAATTCTCCTGTACTAATAATTCATCTGTGCATTAGGCTAGAATTCTCACGTCATCTGACGCCAGTATTGCGTCAGATTTCTTTACAGTAAAACACATTATATACAATTTGTGTGAGAATTAAATACGATTCTCCATAATTAAGGCATTCTGTATGACAACTGATTGCAGACGAATTGTTCTCTAACTAAAAGCCGAATAGAGCGTTAGAATTATACCGTCTACCTCGCGATAGTGTTAACGTCATCAATGAATGCTATGGGGAGACATTAATTCCTCTCCCTTGTATCTTTACTATTCTTAAATAGTTAAATAATAATATTTCGTTCCTCTAAATAATAAACCCGTCCAGTCTTTAGAGTTTCATGCGCGAATGCGAGAAATATTAATGTTCATGCCAATAATTTGTGTAATGAACGTCGACTCGGCGTGGGGGGAGGGACGCGACGCCATGCTCAGTCGGTGACGGTGTCGGGAAGCGGACACGTGCAAAGCCAGAAGGAGGCAAAACCACGCTTACCGTACTCACAAAAGACGCCATTGTCCAGCAAATAGGACACGTGTGTCTATCCACAGATGAAAGCCGCCACTGTGAGGCGTGAACGACCTTGCAGATAATATCTTCAACTAGTGCTGGTGTTAAATAAGGGACCCCTAGACTTGGTTCCTGACGACACGTGATCAGCCAGCTTGAAACGCATCAATCCAGGATAGGTTCACCGGAGCCTGGGATGCGAAATTACGGCAATCTTAATACTTACACAGTGCCCACAGCTAAGTACCTTTTATTTGATGCATCATTTACAGGTTTAATAATAGCGGGGTGATTGCGCGTCACGCGGCACGACAACACCTAATAACAGGTGATTAGAAATTTCTCTGTAGATATCAATAATCTTGAATATGTATTGAGTAGTTAAATCAATTGCTACTGGTAGTTATTTATTTTGCAGCTCGAGAGACGAATTCCTCATGCTGTCTTCTCCATGTTAACCGTGTCAGACGTCGGTGTACCAGACTTGGAGATTAAGAGGACTGCCAGGGTTATCTAAAGGAATCTATTACCAGCTAAGGCTTATTTCTTTTATTCATAACATTGCAATTTGATACATTCAGAATGTTTTCAACATAATGTGTGATTTACTGTAATTCATTATTATGCTCATATTCATGTTCTTCTTTGTATGAATAATATTATATTCAACATTAATTATAGGATTAGATTATTATTAATAGAATTAGTGAACGAACCACACTGATTCCTGGACGTACTGACCTCCAGTAATAACCCCCCAATGTAGGTGTTTGAGGTTTGGTTTTAATAATACAGCCCATTAATTATTCTTATGATCATACTTTCTAGTCATATCCATAGTCACTGGTTTTCTCTAGAATTTTATCTAATGATCTGAAATTCTCAGTTTCCCTCTTTACTTTAAAAGCGGGTGGTCCTTCGTAATTTAATTTACTACTTTAATTATTAATTAATCAGAATCAAACCCAAATATCCCACAAGAAGATAGGTGTAGGGAGCAGGAGGCCAGATACAAGGTATCATCTGGGAGAGGAAATTCTTCAGGAGTCAGAGAAGGAAAAAGACTTGGGGGTTGATATCACGCCAGACCTGTCTCCTGCAGCACATATCAAGCGGATAACATCAGCGGCATATGCCAGGCTGGCCAACATACGAACGGCATTCAGAAACTTGTGTAAAGAATCATTCAGAACTTTGTATACCACATATGTCAGGCCAATCCTGGAGTATGCAGCCCCAGCATGAGTCCATATCTAGTCAAGGATAAGACTAAACTGGAAAAGGTTCAAAGGTTTGCCACCAGACTAGTACCCGAGCTGAGAGGTATGAGCTACGAGGAGAGACTACGGGAATTAAACCTCACTTCGCTGGAAGACAGAAGAGTTAGGGGGGACATGATCACCACATTCAAGATTCTGAAGGGGATTGATAGGGTAGATAAAGACAGTCTATTTAACACAAGGGGAACACGCACAAGGGGACACAAGTGGAAACTGAGTGCCCAAATGAGCCACAGAGATATTAGAAAGAACTTTTTTAGTGTCAGAGTGGTTGACAAATGGAATGCATTAGGGGGTGATGTGGTGGAGGCTCACTCCATACACAGTTTCAAGTGTAGATATGACAGAGCCCGATAGGCTCAGGAATCTGTACACCTGTTGATTGACGGTTGAGAGGCGGGACCAAAGAGCCAGAGCTCAACCCCCGCAAACACAACTAGGTTATCTTGAGGTTATCTTGAGATGATTTCGGGGCTTTAGTGTCCCCGCGGCCCGGTCCTCGACCAGGCCTACACCCCCAGGAAGCAGCCCGTGACAGCTGACTAACTCCCAGGTACCTATTTACTGCTAGGTAACAGGGGCATTCAGGGTGAAAGAAACTTTGCCCATTTGTTTCTGCCTCGTGCGGGAATCGAACCCGCGCCACAGAATTACGAGTCCTGCGCGCTATCCACCAGGCTACGAGGCCCCTAGTTGTAGGTGAGTACAACTAGGTGAGTACACACACACACACACACACACACACACACACACACACACACACACACACTCATACTAGAAAATATAATTTGAGCACATTTAAATACCATAATAAAAAATTCCCAACAATTATAAAGATGCATAAATGTAGAATAATAAATGGGATAAATAGCCCCCCCCCCCAAAAAAAAAACAATTAATTTATTGAATTATTTTTCTCCAGATGGCAAATAAAAAGACTACTTCATGTATAATTACAGGCATTTGAAATTACTTTGGAAAATTATCAAATGTATGAAAAGCTGACAAAAGTCATTTATCGCGTGGACCCGTATCTAACTACAGACCCGTATCACTGACAAGCATCCCCTGCAAAATACTTGAAAGAATAATTAGGCTAAGACTTGTTGAGCACCTGGAGAGCATTGGGTTTGTAAACAAGCACCAACATGGGTTCTGGACAGGGAAATCATGCCTAACAAACCTTTTAGAATTCTATGATAAAGTAACAAGGATAAGGCAGGACAGAGAAGGCTGGGCAGACTGCATATTTCTTGACTGCCAAAAGGCCTTTGATACGGTACCGCACATGAGACTGCTATACAAACTTGAGAGGCAGGCAGGAGTAAGCGGAAAGGCCCTAGTATGGGTGAAGAACTACCTAACAGGAAGGAGCCAGAGGGTAATGGTAAGGGGCGAAAAGTTGGACTGGCGAACAGTAACAAGTGGAGTACCTCAAGGATCGGTGCTGGGACCAATCCTCTTTCTAATTTACGTAAATGATATGTTTACAGGAGTGGAATCATACATGTCAATGTTTGCAGATGACGCAAAATTAATGAGAAGAGTTGTGACAGACGAGGATTGCAGGATCCTCCAAGAGGACTTAAACAGGCTGCAGAGATGGTCAGGGAAATGGCTACTGGAGTTTAACACCAGTAAATGTAAAGTTATGGAAATGGGATCAGGTGACAGGAGACCAAAGGGACAGTACACAATGAAGGGGAACAGCCTACCTGTAACGATTCGAGAAAGAGACCTGGGAGTGGATGTGACACCTAATCTAACTCCTGAGGCACATATAAATAGGATAACGACAGCAGCGTACTCTACACTGGCGAAAATTAGAACTTCATTCAGAAACCTAAATGAGGAAGCTTTTAGGGCGCTTTACACTGCCTACGTGAGACCCGTCTTAGAGTATGCCGCGCCATCATGGAGCCCCCACCTGAAGAAACACAAAGAAACTGGAGAAGGTTCAGAGGTTCGCGACGAGGCTTGTCCCAGAGTTACAAGGGATGGGATATGAAGAGCGGCTGAAGGAACTGAACCTTACGACACTAGAGAAAAGAAGGGAGAGAGGAGATATGATAGGGACATATAAAATACTCAGGGGAATTGACAAAGTGGAAATAGATGAAATGTTCACACGTAATAATAACAGAACGAGGGGACATGGGTGGAAACTGGAAACTCAGATGAGTCACAGAGATGTTAGGAAGTTTTCTTTTAGCGTGAGAGTAGTAGAAAAATGGAATGCACTTGGGGAACAGGTTGTGGAAGCAAATACTATTCATACTTTTAAAACTAGGTATGATAGGGAAATGGGACAGGAGTCATTGCTGTAAACAACCGATAGCTAGAAAGGCGGGATCCAAGAGTCAATGCTTGATCCTGCAAGCACATATAGGTGAGTACATATAGGTGAGTACACACACACATGGGTGAATGACATCAGGGATGGCGCAAACCTTGTAGGTAACCATCGCCGGGGGCCGTACCCGGAACCTTAGGACTACGAATCCCGAGCTCTGTGCACTCAGCAGTCAGGCCCTATCATAAACATAAAACATTCATGTTATGGATAACATAAAATCTGACTTTCTTCACAATGAACAGTGAGGCACATACAATCAGCCATCACCTAAACCTTACTAAGCCACAGAATAGAACCTGAGAAAATATTATTATTCTCTCTAAGATATAAACAATTGGAGTAACTTACCCCATTGAAAGAAAAGTGTAAATTAAAAGTACACAAGGAAACCCTAAAGACAAAATAAAGAGGGACTATATGCAAGTCGCATGCTTTCTGTCACAGGGCCACTAGAGATTTTGACTAACTGATAAATATAGAAACAATAAATGCATATAGATAAAGATATATACTAGACACTAATACCTATGCTAAATGGATACTATTATTGAATGCATACAGATCATTTTCCTTACTTTCTGGGGTCTTGATGATGAGATTTGCAAGGAATGGCGAAGCAGCATAAAAGTCTAATATGTTCACCAACTGGTAATTGACTGTCATGAGTGAACACTGTTCAAGCTGTTTGGTGATATCAACAATGAGCTGTTCAAATAGTAGAGGTGGTGTTGCTCCTTGATCAGCTAGGTGTTCAATTAGATTACTAGCAAGGTCCTCCACTGCAGATTCCTGACCCAAGCCCTTCAAGAGAATCTGACGTAATTGTCGGTCAGGGTACTGGCCACGGTAGAGCTCTGGCTGCTCCAAGGCTGTGGCAAGGTTGGTTATCACAGCTCCCTGGACCTGTAATGCCATATAATTATTATCTTTCCTGTAAATATAGCAAAACTTCATGAAAACAAAGGAAAACAATTAAAAAGGGTCATATTTACTTAGGATCCAATAAGCTTTAAGTACGTACAGTATAGGTAGTATACAATTTACAATATTGGATTTCTTCCAGCCCTTAATCTCTGCAGAAATTTTCACACTAAACAAAAATGTTATTTACACTCAATATACACCAAGTACTCTAAAGGTTCTCTGCTGTATTTGGAAGGTGTCTGCCATGTTTGTAACACATACTATTGATGCCTTATGAAGATACTCCGATTCATTGTGTTAGCTCACCTGCTGCAATGAAGAATAGGTAGCTTGAGAGGTGGTACTACTACTGAAATAGTTTGACAGTAAGGCTCCATGCTCTTTCATTCATCACCTAAGTGAAGCTTGTCATCATCAATGAATACCATTTTGATTTATAGTTTAAATTTTATCCGAACTGTACCAGGGAAAGTGCTATATGGGCAAGTAATGGAGATAGCCCAGCTAAGGTGAATAGGTATGAAGTTGAAATGGCAGTGATGTGGCATCAAGTTTTGAAAGAGAAATTGTGTGGTGATGGGAGGTATGATGTCATTTCTGCAATGGGATCCTGCCAGGCTTACACAACTGCAGGCAAAAACCCAGCTCAAGGTATCAGAACCAATCACATCCATGGGTGGTAGAACCAGGAGTGGGTGGGATTGTTTTAAGCTGTGACATGTGATGATGCAGTGGACAGTAGGATAGATCCCTTCAGCCGAATGAAGGAAGTGATGCATAGGATTGTGTGATTTGAGGGATGAGTCGAGATTGAAAGTCTTATTGTGAAAGGGCTACTCAAGAGTAGTAGTGGATGCTAAAGATCTAGATAGAAAATATTCTGTCCCAACTCGGGGTTTGATGTATGTTGGAGAGGCCATCATTGGAATGGGACTGGAGAGAGAGAGAGGGGGGGGGGAGGGGAATCTCCATATTGTGAGTGGAGAAAAGGGCCAAGAAAGCCAGCTTTATTCATCTAGAGAAAGATCTGCAGCAAAGGTGGTTGTTCCAAGGGCACTGGACCATACTGGTTCTTATCAAGTCATGCATGTACTTGTGGGGTGTGCTACCATGTCATGTTGGACTGCTTGTTGCAGTGATTATAAATGAAAAATGTACTATAAGTAAGGGAGGGACTGGAATTGGTGATATTCCAGGAAATAATGATCATCGAGCGAAAAAAAGTGGTTTTACATGAAACGTTAAGTGAGGAGTAAAGTAGTGTTCCAGTGACTGGTGAACCACAAGGCTAACAAGACTGCAAACCAAACATGACAGGGCTGATCTCATCGAAATATGAGGGAAGAAAAAAAATTGACGAAGAAAGAGCAGGCAAGGAACATATTGTAAAAAAAACTGTCAAACAGCAAGAGTGGTGGCAGTGCTATTCGGGCACTCAATATTTTTTTTTCCGGACAAGCGGATTATAACAGCTTTCACAGGTTTGTTAGTACTGGCATAAAATGGTTATAGGATGGTGTGCTACTTGCAGCTTAGTACTCGAAATAATTGGATAAAAACATAGGCTCATATTATATATAATATGACACTGTATTTTGGGTTGACTATTATGGTCCAGGCGAATCACTGACATGTAGCATAGTGTACACAGCTTCCCAGAAAACATTTTGTTTTCTGGAAAGCTATATATAAAATTAAAATGTTAATAATGTTCAATAAAAAAAGCCTTGAGGTTACACTGCATGTTTAGTGGTTTAAACCATGCATGAGAAAATACTGAAGCCATATGATAGAACTGAACCCACATCTCTGAGCTCCTTCAGAGGTGTGAAGGAGTTCATGAAGGTCCACTAACAAATGGACCACGATGGGCTTAAAGTACCGAATGGTGCCTTCCAAACTCCAAGTCAGTCAAGTAGTACTTTTGCCCGAGATACTTTTAAAAGCTCATCACGGTCCAGTTGGTGTTACATGTGCCAGAAGAGTTCAGGGATGCAGGTTTGATTCCCTCATATGGCTTCAATATTTTTTCATAAATATACTGTACCATGCTCTTGTGACTTCATTGGAATTCTGCATTAACCAAATTAAGCTAATTAAAAATCCTACATTGTGGTACAGGTATGCATAACAAAATATTAGTACATAAAATTAATTGCAGATAGCAACTGGAACCATTGAAGGGTTAACAATACAAATTTATCAGCAAACTGTTGTACTCGCCTGTCTGGCCACTTTGGCAAATGGCTTGTCTCTGGCAGCCCAACATCTCCCATACACTTCACTCAGGTATACAACCACTTCCACTCTTCCAGCTTCTTCTCTTCCCTCACCCCCAAGTCCTACTACATGTGTATTTGGATTTTCTAACAGTAACCGCTCAAATAGCACAAGCTGAAGTGTGTCCGTAGTGAGGTTTTCAGTGTCTGTTAGCAGCACCCGAGGGGAGGCGTATGGTCCTGGTCTGGTCGTCACTAGCAGCAAATCCTCAAGGAAGTCAGTTGTGTTTTCCTCATTGTTGTTATTCGTTGGTCTGTAAAGTACATTGAATGCAAATTTAAAATAAAACAAAAAGCAAATACAAATATAGAAAGAATGGGATGGGGGTTATCCAGAGACGATTTCGGGGCTTTAGTGTCCCCGTGGCCCGGTCCTCAACCAGGCCTCCACCCCCAGGAAGCAGCCCGTGACAGCTGACTAACTCCCAGGTACCTATTTACTGCTAGGTAACAGGGGCATTCAGGGTGAAAGAAACTTTGCCCATTTGTTTCTGCCTCGTGCGGGAATCGAACCCGCGCCACAGAATTGCGAGTCCTGTGCGCTATCCACCAGGCTACGAGGCCCCCTCGTAGGGTGTCGTAGGACAATATAAAACCTACATTGGTAGGAGCTTAGTTCCCTCATTTGCTTTCTGTTATTTTTTCTCAGGCTATGGGTCTTCTATCCAACTAGGAGGTACCCATCTGTATTTCAATAAATATATATATATATGCTGCACCTGTATGTGCAAGAATAATCAAACATATGATACAGTTTTACAACAGTAATAAACTCAATATGAGCACTATTGTGTAAATAGCCAAATAAAAAAAAATGAGACTATATATACACGTAATCGATCCGTTGTGTGGTATCATTAATATACTATGAAATATAATTTGACTAGCACTATGAGTACAGTACTGTACATTATATTATAATAATGCTTACACAACTTGGTATTTTCTACATCATTGCTAGTACAGTACTGTACTTGCCAACAAAAAGTGCACAATACATACTGCAGTAACAAAGTTTACAAATACAAATAGAGTACAGTACTTTAATAACCGAAGACCACCAGACATTTAAAAAAAAACTTCTCAATGTTATTTGAAGCAAGTACTGGCCAGTTTTTAAAATCAACATCATCAACAACAACAACAATAATAATACTGTATATTATCAGTACTTGCAAAACAGCTTTGAAAATTTTACAGCAGCTACCTTCTGGGTGCATCTACGAGTGGCTTTTGGTGAATGTGAAATTCCTGCTGTTGCTTGCTGAACTGCTCTGCATCCTTCACTGTGCAGAAGAGTGCAGCAAAGGGATTATCTTGCAACTTCTCTGACATCTTGCAAGTCTCTGAAATGCAATTAATGATTACAACCATGTCAATGTAGCCACTTTTTTTTTTTTTTTTTTTTTTTTTTTTTTTTTGAGATATAAAGAGTTGTTACATTCTTGTACAGCCATTAGTACGCGTAGCGGTTCGGGCAAGTCCCTGGAATACGATCCCCACCGCAAAGAATCGTTTTTACAACCAAGTACCCATTTTACTGTGGAGTTAAACAGAGGCTACAGTTAAGGATTTGCGCCCAGTAAATCCTCTCCGGCCTGGATATGAACCCATAACAAAGCGCTCGCGGAACGCCAGGCGAGTGTCTTACCACTACACCACGGAGACTGGTGAATAATATGAATGAACATTAATAAGGAATACAGAATACAGTATAGAGAAAAAGGGTTTATCAGAAGAGACATGATGTGTTTCAACTTATGACCTCCCATTATCAGGAACAGGAGGCCTGTTAGGCTTTCACTGTCCCCTAGGCCAACTACAGACAACCTCACCTAGGATGCAATCCACAACAGTCATATAACTACTAGGTATCTATTTTTTCCTAGTGAACAGAGCCATGATGTGAAATATACACACACACAGTAATTACACTATGAAACAACATACACAACCACTACAATTAAATTCATCACTAGGCTTATGTTCACCATATGATCCAGTAGCAAACAATATATTGCATGTGTACTGTACTCTTAAAATATATTTAGTCAGCTGCCAGATAAATAAATCCTAAAAGTGAAATGCAGATCCCGTTCCGTGCCACGGAGATCAGAGCTCACGAGTGAAACATGCCAGTTTCACAATCACTTCAGAAATTTACATTTGCACGTTTCAATTTTCTTCAGGTATTGAGTGTTGTGTAATTGTGTATCCTGTATTTCTCTAATAGGTCTTACACAATTTGAAAGTCAGGAAGTATAGTCGGGATAAGTCGAGCATCTGATTATCTGGGCCTAATAAACCCACTGCTCCTGCATCAGCAAAGAACAAAACTACCGTACAAAAATGCCAATACTATATCTCGAGTGAAGTACTGTACACTCCAAAATTATACCGAGGCACCAATGGTATCCAATATGAAATGGCTAAAATAAAAGTGCGAACCTGATCGTCATTACAAAATTCTTAATGGTAAAAGAATATAATTATCAAATGTATGGAATGATGTACACATATATATTTTCTTTTCTGGCAAATATACAGAACTTTTAATTAAACCTTTTGCTGCAAGAAGCATTCGATGTCACTTGACAAGATCATGTCTCATTATTTCAAATGCGACCGCAAACTCCTGCCAAGAAGTTCCACATCTTATTAAAATCCACTTAAAATTATCTGTTAGATTAAGGACCTGCCCGAAACGCTGTGCGTACTAGTGGCTTTACAAGATTGTAAATACTATGCTATGTATTCTCTCAAACCCAATGTGCCTTCTTGTATATAAATAAATAAATTATAGTGCTCGGCCAGATCCCTCTTGAAGGTAAAACAGCTTTTGAGGTAGTAGCTACTACAGTCTACAGCTGCCATCATGAAAAACATCAAGTAGTGGCTCTTAAAACCTGGAAAACAATTGTCATGTAATTTTGTTGCATCTTCGTAAATGGGTTTATTTAATTTTATATTATATTTGGTCTACAGTAAGACAGTGAAGGATCACTGTAGCCACTGAAGGTTCAGGTGTAGGGCTGTGTCCGGGCCCAGCCAGACCTTGACTGTGTCCCCAGCCAGACCTTGACTGTGTCCCCCAGCCAGACCTTGACTGTGTCCCCCAGCCAGACCTTGACTGTGTCCCCCAGCCAGACCTTGACTGTGTCCCCCAGCCAGACCTTGACTGTGTCCCCCAGCCAGACCTTGACTGTGTCCCCCAGCCAGACCTTGACTGTGTCCCCAGCAAGACCTTGACTGTGTCCCCAGCCAGACCTTGACTGTGTCCCCAGCCAGACCTTGACTGTGTCCCCCAGCCAGACTTTGTGTCCCCCAGCCAGACCTTGACTGTGTCCCCAGCCAGACCTTGACTGTGTCCCCAGCCAGACCTTGACTGTGTCCCCCAGCCAGACCTTGACTGTGTCCCCCAGCCTGGCCTTGACTGTGTCCCCAGCAAGACCTTGACTGTGTCCCCAGCCAGACCTTGACTGTGTCCCCCAGCCAGACCTTGACTGTGTCCCCCAGCCAGACCTTGACTGTGTCCCCCAGCCAGACCTTGTCTGTGTCCCCCAGCCAGACCTTGACTGTGTCCCCCAGCCAGACCTTGACTGTGTCCCCCAGCCAGACCTTGACTGTGTCCCCCAGCCAGACCTTGACTGTGTCCCCCAGCCAGACCTTGACTGTGTCCCCCAGCCAGACCTTGACTGTGTCCCCCAGCCAGACCTTGACTGTGTCCCCCAGCCAGACCTTGACTGTGTCCCCCAGCCAGACCTTGACTGTGTCCCCCAGCCAGACCTTGACTGTGTCCCCCAGCCAGACCTTGACTGTGTCCCCCAGCCAGACCTTGACTGTGTCCCCCAGCCAGACCTTGACTGTGTCCCCCAGCCAGACCTTGACTGTGTCCCCCAGCCAGGCCTTGACTGTGTCCCCAGCAAGACCTTGACTGTGTCCCCAGCAAGACCTTGACTGTGTCCCCAGCCAGACCTTGACTGTGTCCCCAGCCAGACCTTGACTGTGTCCCCCAGCCAGGCCTTGACTGTGTCCCCAGCAAGACCTTGACTGTATCCCCAGCCAGACCTTGACTGTGTCCCCAGCCAGACCTTGACTGTATCCTGGTCCAGCTGGACCAGGTCTGTGTCATCCCCGATACATAGAAGTGTGTACACAGCCTATACACAGGGGGACCCCCACATAACACCTTCCTGACGACGTCCCCTCGTCACCCTCTCTGCCCCTGTTAGTGCTGGAGGGAGCAGAGGAGGCGGGCGGACACCTACACATGTGACTGTGAGTCAAGACGGGTGGCTGAAGGTGAGGAAAGTGTCAGTAATTACGCGAGACAGTCATCTTCCCCGTCCGGGAAGTGACGGCAGACTGAGTGACGTGTCGTCTGCACTCCCTCCTCCACTCACCCCTTCGTACACGGCTACTTACATCCATGTATGCTAATTTAACAAATGTTTATGTAACAGATAAACTTATTTTGCTATTTTAGTTTCTTTGTACACCGTAGTTATACAGTATACTTCATACATTCTTAAAACATCTCATGGGCTATGTTGCGTGTTAATATTCGTATACGAATGGTCTGGAGTGAGTCCACAGGGCCAAGAGCACTGCTGGCCAGGCATGACGGGGCGGATCTTATTTATTTATTTATTTATTTATATATATACAAGAAGGTACATTGGGTTTGTGAGAATACATAGCATAGTATTTACAATCTTGTAAAGCCACTAGTACGTGCAGCGTTTCGGGCAGGTCCTTAATATAACAGATAATTTTAAGTAGGTAAAATTAGGTAGGTAGGTTAGATCTCATCGAAACTGAACAATTTGGAGGGTATTGATACAGACAACGTTGATAAAAAGTCAGATGTGACACTAATAAAGAACAATGGATTCAGGCTCAAGAAGCCACAATGAACGACAGAAAATAGATTTGTTTTCACCCACAGGGTTATAAACGCATGGAACCGCCTACCTGCCGAAGGCGTAAATAATTAGATTCAGATTCTTTACTCAGGTAAAGGTACATCCATTGAGTTACATAATGATGGATTTAAATATAGAGATAGTACATGCAATACCTAAAGCCACATGTACGCATAGCGTTTCGGGCATGGAAATAATAATAATTGTGTTCCAAACACTAAACCAAATGCCAAAACACTGCAGAATTTTTAAAATCCATCAGAACAAATGGGAGAAGGGCAGAGTTGGACATTTCCTGTCCCCGTCGAGGCCAGTGTTAGTGGCCGTCTGGTAAATTCAGGTAAAATATAATTTGCCTACCCAGACTTGAAGCTAGCCTCACCGATCGGATTCTAGTATTGAACATGGTACTAGTATTGATTATCTAGCAACTAATATGGTATTACGGACACAACATTGTAAAGCTGATCGTTGGCCGTCCATCAGCCACCTATCATATGTTGTGGTCAGAATACAGAATTACGTCATTCTTTGATGTTCCTTATTACTATTTTGTTTTGATGATTAATCTCTGCATAGCTATTATCTTTTGCATGACTGGCGGAGTGGAAGCAGTTTACGTTACTCGGGTCTGGACGGTAAATGGATGGGTGAGCTCGATAGCCTTATATCTTTTCAGTTTGTGTATTTCCTTATCTTTTGCTTTCGATTTAGTCTTCTTTTTTTTTACTCAAGGTTCCCATTTTAAAACGTTTTCTTTGTATCGTTTTCTTTTATTAAAGTATGACTTAGCTAAATAGTTTTTGGCGTCATTTGAATACGGGACGTTTCGACGATGCTTGTTTTCTTAAATTAAATTAAATTAATTTTTTTATTCAGGAAAAGTACATACATAGATGGAGAGTTACAAACATAATGTTGGATTTATAGATAGAGCTAGTACATACAATACCTAAAGCCACTAATACGCACAGCGTTTCGGGCAAGAGTTTCTGTTTGAGTTAGTTTGATAAAACTATATGTATTGCTATGCTAGGATATATTAGCTTAAGTTAGGCTGTATTGGGCTAGGTTAGGTTAGGTTTGGGGGTTTAGGTTAGGTTAGGTTGGGTTGAACTACCCAGAAACGAAGTTTCTGAGGTAGAAACGTTAGGCTAGGTAGGTTTCAAAATCCGTTGGCAAATCGTCTTGTTCACGATATTTTGTATTTATTTATTCATATATACAAGAGTTCTTACATTCTTGTACAGCCACTACCATGCATAGCGTTTCGAGCAAGTCCATAATCCTAATTTTCACACACACATGTGCTGGCTGTCTTGCATATGCATATGCTAGACTGGCCAACATAAGAACTGCCTTTAGAAACTTATGTAAGGAATCGTTCAGGACACTGTATACCACTTATGTCAGAACAATCCTGGAGTATGCAGCTCCAACTTGGAGTCCATACCTTGTTAAACACAAGACAAAGTTAGAGAAGATTCAGCGGTATGCCACCGACTCATCCCGGAAATGAGAGGTATGAGCTACGAGGAAAGGCTAAAGGAGCTGAAACTCACGTCCCTGAAAGACAGAAGAGTAAGGGGAGATATGATAACCACCTACAAAATTCTCAGGGAAATTGACAGGGTGGACAAAGACAAACTCTTTAGCACGGGCGGAACACGCACAAGGGGACACAGGTGGAAGCTGAGTATCCAAATGAGCCACAGAGACATTAGAAAGAACTTTTTCAGTGTCAGAGTAGTTAACAGGTGGAATGCATTAGGCAGTGATGTGGTGGAGGCTGACTCCATACACAGTTTCAAGTGTAGATATGATAGAGCCCAGTAGGCTCAGGAATCTGTACACCAGTTGATTGAGAGTTGAGAGGCGGGACCAAAGAGCCAAAGCTCAAGCCCCGCAAGCACAACTAGGTGAGTACACACACCCAGGAAGCAGCCCGTAGCAGCTGTCTAACTCCCAGGTACCTATTATTTACGGCTAGGTGAACAAATGCATCAGGGTGAAAGAAACTGCCCATTTGTTTCCGCCTCCACCGGGATATGACTTAATTGTACCCCCTTCCGCTGGGAATGCGGTCAAATTGCTCATACGAACTTCTCATATACCATAAGTTCTGCGTATTAGACTTCGTTCATAGTAGATTTCGTATATGGGGGAACCTTTCGTACACGAAACTGTTCTAATTAGTGCTATTTACTGCAATCATCATCCAAGACATTAGAATTATTAAAACAAAATGATATATTTTTTTAATATTTTACACTGGAAGTTCAGAAACAATTACTATAATAATGCGTAAGTAGTTCGTTTCCTCAGGCAGATATATGGAACGACTTATTCAGGCCTGACAAAACAATGATACAGCAAATCAATTTTTTTGCCAATTTTTTTTCCGCAGTTCCGCGCAATTCCTGCGCGGGCCCTAAGCCTCTGGCTGGCCCACTAAGTGTTGCTTGTTTCTGTTTTACTTGGGCGAAGTATGAGTATTTATGACTCGTATGGTCGCTTCAGTAAGATTTTGCCATATGTGTTTAACAACTTCTGCTCTTGAAATCTTAATGGGTTTGTAACTGTGCATGGGACTGCCAAATGTTCAGTCCCTTACAGCTATAAGAGAATTAGGGCGTATTACTATCAAGAAAGTGAAGGGTAATATAATACTCGTAACATAAACACTTTATTGTATAAATGTTCAGGACAATTTTATTTTATAATTTAATACGGTGGAAAACTTCATAAAAATACATTGATTAAAAACATCATGGATCAGTGACCCTGTTGCAAGCACACACGTATTGGAAGCTTAATCAAATAAATGTTAATGGTAATAAACTTAATAACCATGGTTAATTTATACAAGGTCAAAAAACGTTACTAATTACAGGTTTTGATCCGTCCAATCAGGAGCAAAATAGCTTACATCTTTTCCAAAGAATAATTACCCTGGAAACACAAACCGAAACTGTCTCTATTTTCTGCTTGTTACAACTTGCAATAAAGTTGTTACATCCTTAGCTTAACGTGTTTATGACGTATTAGAACGTTGTTACAACTTGCTATATTGGTTGTTATAACTGGTTATAGGAGGTGTTAAAACTTGTTCGAACGTTGTACCAACGTCGTAGTTTCGGTGTGTGTTTGGCGGAAACATTTGATATTTGTGGTGTTCGAGGTTACCAACTGCCTCTCTGTATTGCTACTCAAGTTGCTAATTGCCGTATATTTATATTTTACATGGATTTTAAATCTAACTTTACAATATAACAATGCTTAAACAGTACAAATTAAGCAGACACGATCACAAATGTTTCATTCAGTCAATATTGTAACACTTGGGAAGGATTACCATTCCTTGACCCAAATAGCATTTCCGTCAAGATTGTTCAATTATAAGAAAGTAGACAATTACATGCACAGAAAGTCACAATAACGGGGCTAAAATAAACAACACAATCCGCACGAATTGTCACGATTTGATAATGGTCCAACACGGACCGACACGTGGTCACATAAGGGTCCAGGACGGACCTAAACGTGGTCACATAAGGGTCCAGGACGGTCCTACACGTGGTCACATAAGGGTCCAGGACGGACCTACACGTGGTCACATAAGGGTCCAGGAGGGACCTACACGTGGTCACATAAGGGTCCAGGAGGGACCTACACGTGGTCACATAAGGGTCCAGGAGGGACCTACACGTGGTCACATAAGGGTCCAGGACGGACCTACACGTGGTCACATAAGGGTCCAGGAGGGACCTACACGTGGTCACATAAGGGTCCAGGACGGACCTACACATCGTAAGTTTCCTTTCGTATGTGTCGGTCTAGTTATGTACAAAATTATACATGTAATGCATGCATTAGGAAAGAACGAGACCTCAGCAGTACCTGACTGGAAATTAACAGTACGTCTCAATCTAAATAAAAACACATCGTAAAATAATGGTCCTAAAAGATGGAACGTAAACAAATGGTCCTAAAATGTAGAACATAAACAAATGGTCCTAAAATGTAGAACATAAACAAATGGTCCTAAAATGTAGAACATAAACAAATGGTCCTAAAACGTGGCACAGCCAACCAAAATTATATATATTCAGTTGCATAACGTTGAATTTATTCACAATAAATATCACAAAAAACGGGTAATGGTTTCGCCCAAGTGCCTGAGTTGTGTGAATGTGTGGTGTTAATGCCTTCTCCAGCGCTCTTACTCCTCCCTGATAGTCAACAACTATTACTGTATTGTTACAACACCATCACGGTTTTCTTTTGACCTGTTCTACAACTTGGACAAAATGCTTCAATCACGATAAACTAAGTACAGTATTGACATTTGCTCAAAGGTGAAATATACTTGCTGGTTGGTCAATAAACTGATGTTGATACATAGCATAGTATTTACAATCTTGTAAAGCCACTAGTACGCGCAGCGTTTCGGGCAGGTCCTTAATCTAACAGATAATTTTAAGTAGGTAAATTCTAGCAGAATTAATAAAATGATAACAGATACATTGCAAGAAAAAAATGAGATGAGAGAGAATAGTAAGTATATTAAAGCACATTGGTATACTAAAGCTCTGATTGATTACATTGACAGCTTGATTGGTAATTTAAACAAGATTAATAGACACCATACAGCAGATTGATAGCACATATAAGAAGACAGCAATGATCACAATGGTAAAGATGTTCGGATTGGGTACATAAAGACTGGGAGATTGGGTAGCAATAGATACAGTGCAATTTTAAAGCAAAATGTTAAAAACTATGAAGATGAAATTAGGTACTTTTTAGTTTTGTTTTTGAATGACGCAAAAGTTGGACAGCTTTTCAATTCAATAGGGAGTGAGTTCCATAGACTGGGTCCCTTTATTTGCATAGAGTGTTTACACAGATTAAGTTTGACTCTGGGGATATCAAAGAGATATTTATTTCTGGTGTGGTAATAATGGGTCCTATTACATCTGTCCAGGGAGAGTTTCAGAGCATGATTTGCATTTAAGAACAGGGTTTTGTAAATGTAGTTGACACAAGAGAATTTGTGGAGTGAGATTATGTTTAGCATGTTTAGGGAGTTAAACAAGGGGGCTGAGTGTTGTCTGGATCTTAATATTGATGTACTAAGCAATTAGATAGTAGAATTTAGTTCCATTCACTTTATAGACCGAAAAAATAAAGCTAAAAACCAAATTTCAATATTCCTAGGCCCAGTATAGCACATGTATGTACTATATTAGGCCTGGGAAGGTCTGGTCTGGTTGTTGATCTTAATAACTTTTCCCTCTCCCGCCCTCACCTTCTCTTAGGACTCACTCTCTACACAACCCGTCTTTAAATCATGGAACATGCACAATAGATGTAAAGGGCAACAGGATCACTGAACAAGATAAACCCGAATTGTGTATCATAGCTTGTTAACATTGAAGGTGGAAGCCCCCAATTCAACATACTGTGATTCTATTAGAGAATAACAATTCATTCCAAACATATAACATGCCGTGGTGTTGACGGAGACGCATCGAGATATTATGTGTGGTGAACAATTTATATAAACAAAAATATATACATATATGACGCACATGGGAGCTGGACAGACTGAACTGGCTATACAGCCCATCCTCCTGTTTAGATAGTACTTATGGTAACAATGAGGGTCATAGAACAGTACATATGTGACGTAATGGACAATTAGAAAGTAGATATCGTTACTATTGAGTTTGGACAAACCGGAAATGGTTTTGTATTGATGTTGCAAAGATAACCTAAACTAACCTTCCCAGGCCTAATATAGTACATACATGTGCTATACTGGGCCTAGGAATATTGAAGTATGCTTTTTAGGTTTTATTTTTTCGGACTATAAAGTGAATGGAACTAAATTGTACCATCTAATTGCTTAGTACATCAATATTTGTACTATGGTGCACATAGTAACAAAAATTACTATCTAACTATGAGGATGGGATGTTGTCCACTACTGATAATTAAGTAACAGTTAAGGAACAGTCGTAAAGGTCTGAAACTTTTGAAGTAGAATTTTCTCTTTAAATAACTAAAGTAATACATGTTTTCTAAACAGCATTCAAAGTAGTGGAGAGCTTTTCTGAAGTGTTGTTTGATGGAATGATTATTGTCCAGTTTCGTCTTCGTGTAGACATGTGTTTTAATAGTGCAGCTCTTTGATAATCACACATAGTTAAGTACACTTATTTAAACGTCTAAAGGACAACACAGTATATATGATAACATTAGCATAGCTTTCGTGAAGAACAGTGTATTTACTAATGAATTAACATACATGTTAAGCCTGTAGTACAATGAATCATTGTGACAATTCCTCAATAATTAAACAACATATTTTTTTAATATTAGAAGTGAGACACCATATACTTCACTGTGACATGTCACACATGCATAACACAGTGCATGTCCCTCGGTCGACCCAGCGTTCTGGGTCACCCAAGGACGCTGGTTCGATCCCACCGTCCTGCTCCAAAGATTTTCACATAAATTTATCACGTTTTTGTGATTCCATTGTGCATTCGAGTATTGTTTCGAGGTAACAAAATGTCGCATTGACATTTCTTCTATTTTCTACAACACAAAATTTAGACACTTGTAAAAATATTTTTTTTTATTTTGACAATGAAACTTGCATGTACACGAGAATGGTGTTTGACAATGGTAGTCACGACAGCCTGGCGCTCAGTACTGGAGCTAACAACCACTCAGTATCTAATATGATTCTTGCAATGGTCTTTGTTAAAGGTGATAGCAATTTCACTGTCAATGGATTTTTTAATATTGTAAGAAGAGTTGAAGTGGTCCCATTCAATGGCGGTAATGCGTTTCTTGTTCGCCTTTCGACTAGCGAAGATGCCACGGAGGAAGCCCCTTAGAGCCATCCTGTATCTGACGTTGCTCATGACATATATTAAGGTGTTGGCGATGTACTGTAGCCAGTAGAAGCAGTGGAACACGATGCCAACCTCCTTCCAGCGACCAAACTCGCCAGCGATGTTCAAGACAACGATGGGAAGGATGCACACAGCGTACAGGATCACCAGCCCCAACAGCGTGCGGGAGGCTACCCTGTACCGGCGAACCAGCCCACCTTCCTCGCCACTACTCCTGTATACAAAAGAAAAGTTCAATTATGTATCACAAGCCATATGTTTATATGTCTAAACGTGACCACACTTCTGCACAAAGGGTCCTCTGCCACTCTTACCATAGCCATATTGATCTGCGCCGTCTATCCGACTGACGTCGCAACCTCTTCTGTTATTTTCAAGAATATCAACTATATGTTTCTCGTTTCGCGCCCTCTGGGTTCCCTCTAAGGAGTGTTTGAGGTCAGGACTGGCATGGCAATGTAGTTTTGTGAAGCAATAGAGTAAAGTTGAATACTTTTATATTTAGCATATTCAAAGATTTAAATAAAGGAGCATCATTGCTGTCTGGAGACCAAGTTCACAATAACGTGGCTGAAGATATGAAGACTTAACCACACACTAGAAGATGAGGAGACGACAACGTTTCGGTCCCTCCTGCACCATTACCAAGTCGATTGTGGACCATTATCACAATCAACTTGATAAGGGTCCACGACGGACCGAAACGTCGTTGTCTCCTCATCTTCTGGTGTGTGGTTTGGGTCTTCATTGCTGTCTGGGTTTGGCGCGTGTTACTGTTTTAACTGATTGCAATTGAAATTGAAATTGAAATAAGTTTATTGAGGTAAAATACACACAAAGGGATGAGGTAGCTCAAGCTATTCGCACCCCGTTCAGTACGTCGTGTTAATACATACATAGACACACATCGCAAGCAATAAACGTATTACCGAGCATTCTGAGAGATAAACATATACATTTCTTATTTTAACTGATGGTTTGTGTTGAGACTGAGACCCTCCGCCCCCCCCCCCAGGTGCAGGTCCCGTGGTGAGTATGGGTACATGAGTGAACACTGGCGTCATCAGGACCAAGCCAGCTACATAATAACGGGTTTTAGAGAAAATGCCAACTTTAGATACATTTTATATTCATTTTCACGTGGAAGTTACAGTATGGTTCAATTTGCAATTTGTTGTCTATGTGCATGCCAAGGAACTTCCCTTCTACTCCAGATTTGGGTATTTTTTTATTCTAGAAACTATTTTATTTGTTGATTTTGAAATAATATATAATAAGTCCTGTTAATCCACTACTAATAATCTAAATGAACAGAAAGGAAAGGAAATTATGATGAGAACGCGATAAGCCAGCATGACTATATAGGACTTGGAAAGGATGTGAGACAGGCTAAGCCGGAATGAAGAACTGTGCCCAATCACGTGGACCATCGGGGATCGAACATCGCCCCAGCAAGAAGCGAGGGGCGTCGCCTACCAATCAGTCCCAGTGGTTGGACCAGAAAGAAACATTTGAATAACTTAGCGAAGTAGCAAAATGTGAGACACACACAAACTCACCTGGGGTGGTGACCGTCCATGTACTTGGCCATGAGGGCCTTGGAGCGCCGTACCTGGCGCAGGATGGCCAGGTAGCAGGTGAGGATGACGGCGAGGGGCAGCACCGCCTCCCCCATCACCAGCGCGCACCTCGTCCACCACCCCACCATGATGTCACACCGGTGCGTCCGCTCGTTGAACCCGTATTGCCCCTGACGGAAATGAATGGTTATTAACTTTGGTACATCGAGCTTTGGGTATCTGGTTCTGCCTCTTAATAACTTCTAGTTCTCAACAAATCTAGTTTACAGTTCTCCAAGCCTATTGAGCTCTTTTCTTTCTTTCTTTCTTTCTTTCTTTCTTTCTTTCTTTCTTTCTTTCTTTCTTTCTTTCTTTCTTTCTTTTTCTTTCTTTCTTTCTTTCTTTCTTTCTTTCTTTCTTTCTGTCTGTCTGTCTTTTTTTTCTGTCTGTCTGTCTGTCTGTCTGTCTGTCTGTCTGTCTGTCTGTCTGTCTGTCTGTCTGTCTGTCTGTCTGTCTGTCTGTCTGTCTGTCTGTCTGTCTGCCTGTCTCTCTCTCTCTCTCTCTCTCTCTCTCAATATATATATATATATATATATATATATATATATATATATATATATATATATATATATATATATATATATATTGAAGCTGTGCACGTCGTGGTATGGGACCTTGGTACTCACAGTTCTTATGAAAGGAAGTTGGAAGCCAAGAGCTAGAACCCACAACCCGGAGCAGTAGAGGCGGGTCAACCTGACGGAGAAGAGCCCGCCTGAACTCCTACCGCGTTTAATGTTGTAGAACCTGACGGAGCAGAGAACGCGAAAAACAAAGCCAAGCTCATTGTCCAATCTTGTGTGATATTACAGCAGTAATCTAGTATGTTCAATATATTAATATATATCGGTGGTTATAGGTCACAAGCCGCCTCAAGGCGTTAAAAACACGAAGAGAAAACACAAGAAGGACTTGCCTCTCAAGAGCAACTAGACCCAAGGTATTGAACTCCACGTTGGAGTTGGCAATCCTGATGAAGCCGGCGGCGGCGCAGAAGGCGGGAGGATGAAACTGCGGCTGGAGGTAGGTGGCCATGAGGAGCGGCAGCGTGACGGAGCAGTAGAGCAGGTCTACCACAGCCAGCTGCAGAAGTAATATGGAGTCCGCCGTCACCACCATCAGCTGCCGAGATCTTCTCCGCGAAGCCTCCTTCAGCAGCACCGCCACCGCCCCCAGGTTACAAACGCTGCCGGAGACCGCCACCAGCCCGCCCATCACCAAGCCCAGCGTCAGCGCCCAGACGGCCGGCGCCAGCGACGGGTCGTGGAGGGCGGCGTCCGTGGTGTTCCAGGGCGGCATTATGTCGTGTTAGGGCGGGAGCATCTGTCGTGGAGGGGGTGTGGGAAGAGACGCCCCGGTGTCGCCTCCACCATCACGTACCTCACACGCGGCTGCTTCCCTCCTGAACAACACTTAAAAACAATTAATTGATAATACTATATTTGCCGTGGTGAGTGTGTACTCACCAATATGTATGTGTACACAGGGTGTATGTGTACTCACCAATATGTATGTGTACACAGGGTGTATGTGTACTCACCTAGTTGTGCTTGCGAGGGTTGAGCTCTGGCTCTTTGGGCCCGCCTTTCAACTGTCAATCAACTAATTTTGTTTTGTTTTTATTTTTCCACACACACATACAAACACACACACCCAGGAAGCAGCCCGTAGCAGCTGTCTAACTCGCAGATACCTATTTACTGCTAGGTGAACAGAGCATCAGGGTGAAAGAAACATTGCCCGTTTGTTTCCGCCTCCGCCGAGGATCGATTCCCGGCTGTTCAGGCCCCTGTGTGTGTGTGTGTGTGTGTGTGTGTGTGTGTGTGTGTGTGTGTGTGTGTGTGTGTGTGTGTGTGTGTGTGTGTGTGTGTACCCAGTGCCACACTCCCCTCCCCAGGACACAGGGACTCAAGGCGGTGCTTCAGGAATGCCATCTGAGCTCCATTGCTGCACCAGCTGGTGCTGGCGTATTTCAGGGGGCTTGTTGATATACCCGGGAGGGTCCGCTGTGGCGCAGTGATCACCTGAGTCACAGCTCACAGGTCTTGGGTTCACTTCCCGCGGCAGGACAGAAGAGTTTGAGCTACGCTTTCTTTCGTCTGATGCCGCTGTTCCCTTAGTAGTAAATAGGTACCTGGGAGTATAACACACACAAGGGACAACACCTTCAAGTTCAAGACGCCACAATGAAGAGGAGAAAACAATTGCTTTTCATCCATGGGGGTATAAACCCTTGGAGCCGCGGATCTTCTGAAGCCATACATACCAAGATATTTAAAATTCAGTTGGAAAAAATCCTCAGGAACAATGGGGGGGGGGATGGGACCTTGGACAAGCCGCTGGCTTCCTGTTCTCGTTGAGGTCACCAGAGTTTGCGGGATTCAGGTAAATTCAGGTAAACTTAAACGTCATGCAGGGAACATATTTTCGTCCTGCGACTCGCAAGCGGCCTCCACCCGCCATCTTGTGTGGTGTTACATGCACGCACTAGTTATATTTACATGTACACAGGTGCTGGTATAAAATTTCATGTTTCTGCATGGGATATTGAAGGTTATTCGGTGTTTTGTGTGAAATCTACCGCACAGAGGTGGCAACTGTCAAAAGAATTTTCTATCTATGGTGTTGGAGGTGACGGAACCGGAAGTGACGTCACGCTTGGCGCTAAGTGAAGTGTAAGCAAGTACCTTGACAGTGTAAGGTAAGGTCAAAGGGGTATGATCCCCTGGCTAGTGACACGGGTTTTTCGCCAGTTTTGGGTGTGTGGGACAGCGCTCTTAAATTTATTCTCAGGTATGTTTTTAGGAATTCATTTTTGGCGCGAGGATAGGCAGAAAGCAACATAAGTTCACAGACGCAGAGGTTACCACGGCTGTGGTCTGGTGAGACACCATATATGCAGCCCTGACTAGCAGTGCAAGACAAAAACCCAGAGACACTTACACGACCAAAGATCATATTTACTCCAAAAATCTACCACCTACGGGCTACTCATGCCCGTGTCACCTCTTGTGGTGGCTTACTCTTCAACAACAGCAACAGTAGTGCAAGGACCTAACACTACACCAAGTCTACGCTGACTGTAGCTGTAGTTGATCTGAAAATAAGCGTCAAAACATAAATGATTTAGTGGCGGCCAACAGGCAAGAGTAAGTTTATTGTCGCGTGCCAATAGGCTTTAGTACATCACTGCTGACCTGCACGATCACATTTCTAATTCATGCGGCTGACAAGATTTGCTGAACTTATAAAATATACTAATATGTACGAGAAAATAAATAAGCCTATAAAACACGAATATTTTCTCAGGTAAACACTGCAGTTTATTATTGGATAATAAAACTTTACCATGAAAGAGCAGTCAGCATATACTAACTTTGTATATCACTATTTGGTACATTATTAATAATAACCTTAGAAGTTATAGTAGGTCTTAACTAGATCATTCTACATACTGTCCCTTGCTGTGACCTGCCAGTACAGTATTTAAGCAAGCGTAAATTTAATACCAGGTACAAATACTGAAGTTCGTTTGGTCTGGTGTTGGACCTAAACCTTGATAAACCTCTTGAGGGTCGCTATAACCACCACAATACCTTACTGACCAACCCCCACACCCCTAAGTATACTTTAACCCTAAACATAGACTAAAGTAAACTCTGGATGTATATGCAACGATAAGCGGGATACTCGGTGTATGAGTCCCCAGATAATATTTAAACAAGTGTACTTACTGTACACTTCAAGTGTAAATTAACTCGGTACGATATTAGAGCTTATTATAATTTCGTTTTAGAATCTTTTGTTTTTTTTGGTGATATAAATCTGATATAAATCTTAAGATAAATAATGTGTTTCCGGGGTACGATAATTATCAATATTATTTGTATAGCCTATATATAATTATTAATAATATTGTTCGCGTTAATATTATAATTGTTATTATTGTGTGATTATAACCACTGAACACGTGTCCATAACTGTATATGTACAGCAAGTAAATAAGTAAATTACATAGGAAATAAAAGGAGAAGATTGACAAAGTTTTATAACCCAGTAACAGGTACGAGGCTGTCACTATTTATTAACCTCTGTAAATAAGAGCCACAAGTCCAAGGCTTCGGGGGTATACAAGCAGCTGTGGGTACCGGGCTCACCATAGCCCGTGCTACTTGGAACTTTTTGTTCCAGGTAGCGAATCTTAAACAACAACAACAACAACGGTGGAGGCTGCCTCCCTAGTGAGTCCACCTACTAACCACCAATTAGGATTAAAGATAACAATTTATGATATTTACACAAACTAGGATAAGTTTCTGATATTTACACAAGCTAGGATAACTATTTCTGATATTTATACAAACTAGAATAAGATTCTGAAACTTTCAAAAGCTAGGATAACAATTTCTAATATTTACACAAGCTAGGATAACAATTTCTGGTATTTACGCAAGCTAGGATACCAATTTCAGTTATTTACACAAGCTTGGATAACACTTTCTGGTATTTACACAAGGTAGGATAACACGTTCCAGTATTTACACAAGCTAGGATACCAATTTCAGGTATTTACACAGGCTAGGATACCAATTTCAGGTATTTACACAAGTCAGGATAACAATTTCTAATATTTAAACAAGTTAGGATAACACTTTCTGGTTCTTACACAAGCTAGGATAACACGTTCTGGTATTTACACAAGCTAGAATACCAATTTCAGTTATTTACACAAGCTAGGATAACACGTTCTGGTATTTACATAAGCTTGGACAACACTTTTTGGTATTTACACAAACTAGGATTCAAGATAACAAAACCATACCGACACCTTGAACGGAGCTTTATTGATCGATTAAGATACTGAGAAAACAAGTTCATTATGGAGTGTTTGCTTTTCTTAAGGTGTTGTTCGGTCTTCAAGATCTTTAGTTTCTTGCTTTTCATGTTGGATCAATACGCATATCTCTTTCCATGTTGGATCAATACGCATATCTCTTTCCATGTTGGATCAATAAGCATATCTCTTTCCATGTTGGATCAATAAGCATATCTCTTTCCATATTGGATCAATACGCATATCCTTTTTCATGCCATCAATCTTTCCATCATTGCATTCAGACTGTTTTGTGTGTATTCTCATCTATTTGTACATAGCTCGCTTGATTCATCACTGCCCCAAAAATACATGTTTGTATAAAATAATGACTCAGTTCTTGATTTTACTTTCCTTATTTATGTAAAATTGAGCTAACATTACTTGTTTCTCAAACCTATTCCACTTACTGACAACTCTTTAACACTGAATAAGTTCTTTCTGACATCTCTGTGATTCGTTTTAATCTCAAGTCTCCAGCTATGACTTCTCTTGTTGTTTTTATAGCTGTGAATATGGTTTATTTGTCTAATAATTCCTCTAAATATTACCAAGAATTGTCTAATTCTTGGTTAGATTTCGTTATCATGTTTCACCTTAATTCTCCTCTCCCAAGATGGTTAGGTTCAGAAATAGCGTGTGTGTACTCACCTAGTTGTGCTTGCGGGAGTTGAGCTCTGGCTCTTGGGTCCCGCCGCTTAACTGTCAATGTGTGTATGTGTGTGTGTGTGTGTGTGTGTGTGTGTGTGTGTGTGTGTGTGTGTGTGTGTGTGTGTGTGTGTGTGTGTGTGTGTGTGTGTGTGTGTACTCACCTAGTTGTACTCACCTAGTTGTGTCTGCAGGATCGAGCATTGACTCTTGGATCCCGCCTTTCGAGCATCGGTTGTTTACAGCAATGACTCCTGTCCCATTTCCCTATCATACCTGGTTTTAAAATTATGAATAGTATTTGCTTCCACAACCTGTTCCTGAAGTGCATTCCATTTCCCCACTACTCTCACGCTAAAAGAAAACTTCCTAACATCTCTGTGACTCATCTGAGTTTCAAGCTTCCATCCATGTCCTCTCGTTCTGTTACTATTCCGTGTGAACATTTCGTCTATGTCCACTCTGTCAATCCCTCTGAGTATCTTATACGTTCCTATCATGTCCCCCCTCTCCCTTCTTCTTTCTAGTGTCGTAAGGCACAGTTCCCTCAGGCGCTCTTCATACCCCATCCCTCGTAGCTCTGGGACGAGTCTCGTTGCAAACCTCTGAACCTTTTCCAGTTTCATTATATGCTTCTTCAGATGGGGACTCCATGATGAGGCGGCATACTCTAAGACTGGCCTTACGTAGGCAGTGTAAAGCGCCCTAAATGCCTCCTTACTTAGGTTTCTGAATGATGTTCTAACTTTTGCCAGTGTAGAGTACGCTGCTGTCGTTATCCTATTAATATGTGCCTCAGGAGATAGATTAGGTGTTACGTCCACCCCCAGGTCTCTTTCACGCGTCGTTACAGGTAGGCTGTTCCCCTTCATTGTGTACTGTCCCTTTGGTCTCCTATCTCCTAGTCC